TTTTGGTAATGTTTAGTGTGGGATGAGATGGTGTGGAACGTTATTATTAGGAACCAAAGTAGTTGAGGGAGAAGCGAGCACAAAGTGGTTCCTTTTTCCGACGGTGGTGAAGACATCGTTTTCCTAAAAAAAAAGATAGGAACAAACGAAAATGTGGCTCTAGGATTTCCTAAGGGAGAGAAGAATCGTCTCTCAAAGGTCGATAATTTTTTTTCTCCTAAGTTTGATGTTGGTTACTTTCATCTATTTAAAATAAATTTGGAAACAAGCTAACTTGTTTGTTCATGTATTTTTTATAAATGCTAGAAAAATATTTTAAGATTTATGGAAATAGTTGGTGGTTTTATAAAATACTCCCTGTGTTACTTAGAGATTGATGTTTTAATTTGTTCACACAAATTATGAAATAATTAATTTTAGGTTATTAATGTGTTATTTTTAATGCTAAATATTTTACAAGAACTATTAATAAATAGTAATTTAAAATTTTAAACACTTTTAAACAATATTTTTTGAAGTTTACCAATTTTTAACACTAAATAAAAAAATACATTTAAATTTTTTTAAAATCAATCTTTGCGAAACAAAAAAAAAATTAAAACATCATATTTTAGAAACTGGATGAATATATTTTAAAAATTTATAAATTATGTACACATGAGACCTACTAAAACGTAATCATAGGGTAGATGTGACGCAATATTCTTGGAGAAAAACCCGTCGATTAGTGGTAAGTGGTAACTGATGTGCTAACGATATCTTTATCAAATTATAGTATATTATATATATAGGTGAAGAAGAAAGCGTAAACAGACTTTTTGACAAGGTAAGAAAGAAGAAAAAGAAGTAGGGGACCAATAGACCCATGCGTGTGACCAGAAACTGACCCTTTGTTCTTTATTTTTCTTTGCTGGAAGAAAATTAATTGATGCACCAAAAATAAGGCAAATTAAATAAGTCACCCTTTGTATCAATGGTTCATCTTTGAAATGTTGTAGAGGCTCCCAACTAACCGGTCGATGAAACAATAGTTTGATTAGACATGAAAGAATCTGGGGATTCTTGTGTCTACTCTATCACTTTTTTTTTATCTTCACATATTACATATAAATAAACAAAAAAAATACAAGTACTCAAATATATATATGAAAATGTCCTCGGTGGGTTTCAACGTTTAATATTAAGAATGAAAAAAAAATTAAGAAAACAAATTTGTGGACTCAAAAAAAAATACTTTCAAAACTTTGGTTTCTAAATAGATAACTGTGATTTGAAAACAAAACAAAAAAAGTTATAGAATAGAGGCTATAATAAACAAAAAGAACGTAACATCAAAAAAAAAAATTGTCATTTTTTATGTGCACATTTGCAAAAATACCACCTAAAGATGTTTATTTGCAA